ATAATAATAATAATAACTTAACTTTTTGAACTAGGCGTAGACCTAGGATCGGCGATGCATAGACCAAACGTTGGCTATCCGCTTCGAGTAAGAACAAAAGAGGGCGTGTTTTGAAATGAAATTGACAGTCCTTGGTTAGCATTCACCGCATAGGTGTGCAAGTTTATGCGCGTTTGATGGGGAGCACGCTGAGTACGCGCAATGAATTTAGTCTGGAATGTTACGGTCTTCGCGTGCCCGCCGAACGCTTGCAGGAACCTGGATGACAAAATTAGTACCATCTGCCTTTCTTTCGCCGGTGAGGGTGCACTGCAGCACAAGGCGGATCGGGTATTTCACGTTCAACTTTTCAATAACTTGATTACATAGCGGGAAGTTTGTTGTGGTTGCCATAATTTACAGTAAGCTTCACAAAAACAAGACATTGTTGAATTATTAAGACCAAGATAGCTGCTCTCTGGCGGTGGTGTCCCAAAGTCCAGCATAAGTTCCTGCATGTCGTCACTTTCACTACTCTACGTTATTTATTTTGAAAGGTAAAACAAGCACACTCTAGTTAAAACTCTCTATCAAAACGTAATTACTTCAGTGCGGTGACCAAACTTTATCATCGGTAATTGTTACCTACTGTGACCCCTGTTTTCATAACGCCTGACAAACCTAATCAGAACATTATGAAGGTGTTTTCGTCTAGCAAAGGTAAAACTATAATGAGGATGATATCCATTATCAGTTCAATTGACCTACTGTCATAAAATGTTTCGACTGATCTTTATACAACGTATCACGTCTTATACCCTGTGACCGCGGAACTGGATCACTAATCCACTGCAGCCCACATGCGTAAGTGTGAGGGCGCTATTTGTCCCCGCTCAGTCCTTAAAGTTTGGCCGGTCGTTTCTTTTGATAATACCCTCCACTGCATTGGGACGGATCTAGCTTTCAGAAAATGGAAGGGGGGGGGTTGATAGGCATACTGAAGGGATGACCTGCTAAGGGGATCCACCGGAAATCGATGTAATTGTTATGACTATAGATGGATAGATAGTGGTGGCGCAATCCTCGTCCAGGATTGTTATTTGGTAGGTCGACTCATTTCCCGCCATTTCACTAGTAGTTCTGTTTATTCCGCGGCTGAAAGGGGGGTTGCAACCCTCCCACCCCCTCTTGATCCGCCTGTGCTACAATACCGTTGATTAATTCTTTTGTTTTTGTTTGATTTTGTCAGAATCTGTGGGAGAAAATTACACCCGTGAAAACCTTAAATTAAAAGGATAACAGCTCCAGTTTTCAGGTCAAACCCGTCAGCCATTTCATCCCTTTTGTTTGCTGAGGATGTAGAATTATTTTTCCTGTTCTGAGTTTTCGTTTCGTCAACGTCGGGGTTACCACTTGGACCTTGGGGAAACTTTCCATTAGAAGATGACCGGACAGGCGAAAGGCATATAGGTCCAAGAATTCATTTTACTAGTTATTCGCAAACTGTTTGCACTCTCAAGTAGAAAGTTTTTAAAATTTCTTCTCCACACTGGGAGCAGAGGGAGCCAATGTTGGCGTATGAGGTTAAAGAGTAACTTCACCGTGGGCATGCCCCCCATGTCCCTTTTTTGACGTCATGGTGCGCATTGAACTGTCCCAGCCTTGTTCCATCACCCCCTTCCCCACAATTTACATGGCCTAGAGCTGTTACACCTTCCTCCCATAAAATCATTGAACGTTGGAAATTAAAAAAGGTTACTGTGCAGAGAAGTCAGTCACCCCCCCCCCATCTCTGATGAGAACAACTTGACTTATAATGCTTGTATCTGTAACATGTACCACCAAAGTACCGGTCCGTAGCCGGCAGGATACGAAGACACGTGGATTGGGCCGGGGCCCCGTAGGCTACATGCAACGGTGGATGTCAGTACTTTTCTCTGATTCAGATCTTTTCCATACCCCCTCCATTTTGCACGAGAAAACCAGGGCTCAATCTATTTTACTGGTACAGTCTAATCCTCTGCCTGGTACTGACTACCCTTGACCCGGTAGACACGGTTTTTATCCCAGAGCGGACACTTTATGGATTAAAGGGTCCAGAGTGACACAGAGTGGTAGATTTTTAAATATTGATTGACAGACGCTCACGTCAAGTTTACAATAATCAACTGAAATATTTTATTCAAGACTTTACTTCAGGCCTTTTTAAAGCAATACATGCGGAAACTAAGCTACAAAAAGGTACGAAATTGTGAGTGAATATTCAACTTGGTGGGGGCCCTCTATTTACACTAGGCCCACGAATCAATACCCTGTCGCATATTTGCACATAACTTACATAAACTACATGTACGACACAAATGCACCCGACTTATGGCTTCTCTGCTCTATTCTATTACGGTTCGTCATTAAGTAAGCACGACAAGTTCGCAAACAAATTTCGGACTATATGAGTAGTGCGGTTACAACATGGATCAATCTCTTTCTTGAGTATGTGTGGTTCTGAGAAGAACCGGGGAATAACTCAGAACCACTCATACTCAAGAAAGAGACTGATCCATGGCGTAACCGCAATCGTTTTTACTCATACAGTTCTTTCACCATGAAAACCTTCCCCTTTTCTAAGAACTCACTCCCACGTACACCTTTTCACCATAGAAATCGCAACCACGTGGGTCCATGGACGTTACATCTGTGCTTGCTTGGCAAGAATTACTCGTTGCAGCGATTACTACCGATAGCGCCCTCTTGTGATAATCATTGTGTATTCTCGTATCCGTCCGTCCCTGTTTTTTTTCCCCAAAACCGCCCGTATTCCTCCGATATTCAAATAAGACAAAAGAATGAAAGCGTCTAACTTTGAGTGAACATTGTAAATAGTTGGATGTTTCCGTATTTAGCGATACTCGACTCAAGATTGGGTTTCAAAGTTAAGGGTGTAATAATCGGGCGAACTTCCGCAATGGAGACGAAGCTTGGTATTAGAAAATCCCCAATACAGTGAGACACAAGTGATCCGCAGCTGGAACAACGGTTCAACCATAACAAGGGCCTTCTTAGAGTGTACAGACTGAGATAGCGTAGTACCAGGATTCGTCTAAACGAAAAGGGCTTCATTCGAATCTAATATTCAGAGCTAGGTCTAGGTCCTCATCCACCGTTTACACAGGGACACGTTGGTAATAGACGTAGCCATTGCTCTGGAAACTCGTTGCGGACCATGTTTGGACATAGCCTGAAAGTTTCCCCATCTGACACCGTCTGCACCGCACCTTTCAGAACTATTTGTCGGCCCAAAACCCGTGTTACGGACAGTTTCGTCTAGCTGAGTAGATCAACTGGCTGGAACCCGGTATTCCAGGTCAGCCCATTTGGCAAAGACTTACAGGAACCAATGGTGTGCGTGCCATGACCCACCTGCCGAACCAGAAAGGGGGTCAGCCGGTATGACGCATGATCAAAGACATCCCAGAAAATACCCTCGGTACGGGTGCCACTCGTTAATGCCGGAAAGTATCAGGCCAAACAGAAGCCGGGGTTCCTGGTCCAACTCACTTCGGCAGGTCAAAGTCAGGCCAGGTTTTTGTACTGGGAAAAAGGTACGAACACTGTAATACTATTTTTTAACAGTGATCATGAAGGTAAATTTTTGGATTAGCTTAAATGCATGGTATACTACGAGTGTGTCCAAAGGCGTCCCGAGAAAAGTAAGCCTTTTTCAAAACTGTCCAGAATATCTCTCTCAACTGCTTGTTTCCGTTGAGCAAGTCCAAACTTCGGCGCTGCCTACTTCGGGTGTCGCCCCTGTCGACCCCGTGCCGGCGTTTCCCGCCGACTCGCCGCGCACCATGGAGCTCGTCCACGACCCTGACCGGCTGTGCTTGACCGACAACTCGTGGGCTTCCTTCAGCGCGGCGATGGCGTCCAGCAAGTCGTGAGACACCCGTAGCAAGGCCCGGTCCTGACGATCTAAATCATCCTGGAGTCAACACACAAGGGGGGAGGGAAGAGAGGAGGGGATAAAATCAATGCAATGAAATTCAAGTTCACCACGAGGGACTTCGAGGAGTAATTTACACAGACTGAACCGGCACGACAGTTCACCTTCGCTCGGTAGCCCCGAGCGAAGGTACTTCAAGAGACGAACTTGACATGCCACCTCGATCTGCGTATTAATATAGGATTATGAGCATCGGAATAATTGAAGCGAGAGACGATCAAAGATCGTGCGCCACACACACCGTCTCGTGAATGTCGGCTGCTGATATCCAGTGATTTAATGCACCGTTTATCGTCCAGAATGGGTTGGCTGAAGTTCGAAGCCCGTTTGGGATGAAGCATAGAACTAGGCCGACTTGAGGTCACAATAACTTATTTAATTTAGTTTATTTTTCACCGCTCGGGACCCGCTCTGTACTGTCGTCAATGCACTCATTGCATAAAAAGTTGGGATGTGATTTTAAATTTCCAAGTGCTATTTCATTAGCTCTCCGTTAATGAAAGTAAGGAGTCCCCGAAGGGCCTTCCTTCTTACATGAAGTCAAGATTATTTTATTGACCGCAGCTTTCACAGTACAGTAACAGCAACTGAGTTGGGACAGCCTTGTGCATAAGTTCACTTTACCTGATCCTGCTGGACCCGTACGCGTGGCAACGAATTATGTTCAAATATGGTATGCTGTCTATTAAAATGAGGGCGCTATCGGCATGTGAACAAAATCACATTCAGTGATGCTGATAAGAAAACATCAATTTGCACTGTCATTAACTGGGCTGATTTTTTTTCAATTATTCATTCATAAGGTAATTTAAATTGTGCCCTTTCCCAGACTCATTCTGTGTGAAAAATAACAAGTGTACTCCACGTGAAATTTTTACAAAAACAATCAAGTCATTCTGCATGAACCCCATCATGTCCAGACAGCCAAATGTTACTTTAATTTAATCCCAGAGACCGTGAACCCCGGCTGATGAATAATAGAAAAGTCCATTTTCTCTCGGTTAAGCACAGCTTTTTTCTCCTGCGAATATAAACCCCAAGCGACTCGGTTTCGCAGCCTGCTGCGACCCTCACTTTAACTTCCTTCACAGAAAACCGAATTTTATGTGCGAGCACGCCAAGCGCTAGAAGGAAGGGTCTAATGGACAGAGATCGAGTAACGATTGGGACGATGATGATGTCTTGATTGAACTGGAGTTCTTTATCGACTGCATCCTAGAAGAAAAAGAATCGAGATAAGTGCGGTCAGGCTTTTCCAAAAGAGAGAGAGAGAGATAAAAATACAGATTCACAGATCATGCGTTTTCGGGTCGAAATTTTTCACTTACAGATTTAATCAAGTGTGTTTGTAATGTTGCAAACAACTGATATTGGTTCCGTCTAATTTAATTAAACTTTAATTAAATTTCATGTAATATTTTTTGCAGTGTCAGCAACACACTGACAAGTTGATAAACTGGTAATATGCGACATGGTTTGGAGTCCCTCTTTAAAAGCAGCATTGTAAAACCAGTTTCGGTTTAGCGTCAGAGCGGGCGCTACATTGTATGATAATTTCAAAAACTCGGTCGTCATTTTTTTTTTTTTTTTGCTGCAGCGACGTCTGAACGAATGCGGGTTAGAGGTTGCCTCTGATTCAAACGCAGGTGAAACATATAAGAGCTAATATCGACTTTATTCGTAAAATTGATGAAACCGAAACTCTTCATATTCGCACGTAGCGCTGTGGTTTGTGAGCTCGGGGATTGACGCCCGGGGCTATTTGGGGGGGGGGTGTAAAGTGTACTCATCAGCAACAAACTGACTGACTATGCATCTATAGTCGGAGGGGGACAGTTTTAAGGATTTCCACGCAAACGGGTGATTTCATCACCTTTCCTTCTTTCTTTTCGGTTTCTTTAACTTTTATTTTATTTTGTTTGTTGTTTATTTTGGTTTTGGTTTTATTTTCAATTTTAAGCCCCACCCCCAAAGTTCCCCATGCTTGAGAGGCTGAAGGAAACTTATAAGGGGCAGACATAGCCCAATGCACTCCCTGACTGTTACAACCGTATCATGAGGACTGGTGTCCGACCTGGGCAGTAGGAGAATACATGTAATTACAACCTCAACGCCGATTATGCACTACATTATGATCGAGGCACCACCCTCTCCTTTTTATACGCACCACTAATTGATTAAAATCCTTGAATAGACTGCCTCTGATAACGACATCCTCTTCCGCCGCCACTCCAGACAAATTAAGACCTAACGCCCCGGAGGTAACTTGCCAATCGAAAACAGGTAATTAATTTCGCGTCGCATTTTTGAGCATCAGATTGAGAAGTTGACATGAAGCCGAGACGTTTTCCCTCTTGGTTTCGATCGCCACATCCCGGCTGTTGTTTTTCCCTCCCAGCGATAAAAATTAGTCGCGGGGAATTTTGGGAACTACGGCATTACGAGATTTATGAGAAACGTAATGATGCTCTCTGCACCATCTCCCACCAAGCGTTTTACCTCGTATTACTTGCATTTGAGTACACGTACACAAACCAAGTTTGTTCGGAAGTCGGCTGTGGCTTGATCACAGGTTTTTAGAGATGGCTAACTTGGACCGCCCAAACAACGGCCCGAACATTGAAAACAGATGGATAGACAAACTCCGCATTATTATTAATGTACACATTGCCTAGTAGCATTTACCCGCCCCCCTGGTATTAGGAAAGTTATGGGCAATTTACCCGCCCCCCTGGCACACTTTAGACTCAAATGTTTTCCCTTACATCGCAGCTGAATACTCTTCATGCTAATAGATGTGCTTACTAATTCCCTCGTGGAACGTCAAGTATACAGGAAAAAAACCTCAGGTCAAGTTTTATGCTAATTTCATACAGCACCACACCGGCGACTGAATTCTGAAATTTTTAAAATGAGCTCAATGTATTGAAAACTAGCCGACCAGAGCCGTGACAATTTATATTGACAACGATTTAGTTACTCTATGCGACCCTGTCCAGTTCTGTTCAGCAAGCCCCAACTTTAGGAGGGTTATTACAAGGTTGCCTCCAGCTTCCATCATTTGTACAAGAGTCTTCCCTTCTGTCATGAGTAGGCAAGACGGCAAATTGTTTTGGGGGTGGAACTGTGAATGACAGATTCGGCGCTTTCAAGCACTCTATACAACTGCAGTCCCTCTTTCCAAATCGCTTCAGGTGAGTTGAAATCATCAGTGTAAAGAATGTCTTGCTTTAATAGCTGGGTCATAATATGAGGGATCAACTTTGTGGTGCTTTGTGTTGAAAAAAATCCTAATAACTGTGAAAACCTGCAGTGCCTGACACCTAAATGCAATTTACCTCATAAAATATCCATTGGTAATTATCAACAATGCCAGGTACAATAGAAGGAGGGATAGAAAGAAAGAAAAGATATCACCGGGGAGCAGGCCCATAAACATATTTTCTCTTCTGGATATTGTAAATCTAAAAGTTTAAACAGCAATTATTTAGGTTAGTTTGTTTCTTGGGAGTTGTGTGTCTATTAGTGAGGTTTGTTTTCAGTCAATCACAATAGACAATAATAACAAAGTACCGCTGTCTGCCGCCTGTCAAAGGAGCTTGATGCAAAGTTACTGTACTCATAAATCAAAGGAAATCGTGCTCAAAGGTAGCTATGTCCAAATGAGCCAACGGAAGGAAAAGCATGCCGAGTCATGCCACTTTGATGATACTTAAACGAAAAAAAACACTGAAACGATTACCTAAAGATGTCAAGACGACAATCCACATAATAACTGTTTTTTGATCAGTGGAATATTTTTTTCTCCATCTGAGATCTCTGTACTGGAAACAGTGCAGTTCAACTTCAAATCTAATAGCCGAGTTTCTCTTAAAATTTCCAAAATACGAGAAATTACGCTTAATTTATACTAACTTTATCAGATAACCATTAAGTTCAGGAAGGAAATATTAAGAACGAAAATACTTTTTCTTATTCCAGCCTAAGGCTTGTATTTTTTATGGCTCAAGTTTTGCTTTCTAAAATTGAATGTTGCGTGTTCAGCTCAGCCTTTGACGTCACTGGGACTGATGCGCGTGATTTCCTTCTTTTGAAGTCACAGACAGAAACAAGAAGTCCGGAATCCCAGGCGCATCCATGTATAATAATTACTGGTGACACTGGGTCACTGTGGTTAAAGGTATAGACGTGTATATACTGAACACGACATAAAGTTAAAGCTTCGAGTATTTACAGGGATTATTGAATTATGCACGCTTTATGCAGACTGAGTAAATTATGAGCAAACCAATTTCTTCTGTTACCAGGATTGCCACCAATATTTTCGTTCATTTTAAAAATCATCAATATTTGACACGGCAATCGTTGAAAATTACGAACATCTCTTTAACGTTTAATGGCAATCGACATTTGTGGCGGGATAAACTTCATTTAAGGTAATATGCTTCCACTCTTTTTCAAATCTAATTGTATTTGTCATCTTTGGATCATAATCTCGTCATCTGCCAGGGATAATTTCTAATTGTGCAACCTATAATGAGATTGATTACAAATTACTACATGACTGTCCTGATGATTTATACTGACCAGGATTTCTCGAAGCTGGCTGCGTTTAGCTCTCTGTTGACGGCCATTACACCTGTCGGCTCCGCGCGACTGATCCATCTCATATAAAGACGACTATCATCAGAACGCATCTTCACCGTAGTCATCACAGAATCTACGTTTGATGTCACCTTATCCTCGCCAAATTCCCCCCCGCCGGTGCATCGAGCGAGAGGTCCGGACGACCGAAGCAACAGAACGACACCGCTCAATAGACATCTGCAGCCCATGTAATAAAATGTAGCCCGGTGCACCCAACAAAACAACACTTCTGGAGACGCGGGCCACCACGTGCCGCGGGCTACGGAGCGGGCAAAACGCAACTTACGCACGGTCGGGCTTAATCAGCGGCTGCAGTGCTGGGACGCGACAGCCGCCGTCATGCACTATTTATGTAAAAACGTAATATCGTAAGCATGCTTTTCAGCGTCGTCTAGAAGCCGTGCCTCGAACGGGTAACGAAAAGGTCTCTCAGCAACAGACAATGCCGGCATTTGATGATCAGAAATTGAGGCAATCAAAAATGACCATCAGGAATCCGATCGAAGCGTGTTCTTTGGACAGTAATTACTTTCAATTGCCACACTGCGAAGCGAGCTGCTCCTTATCGAGGCTGTTAATTTACAAATGTAGGCAGGGTTGGTAGTGATAACATATCAAGTTAAATGTCACAGCTCCAACGTGGGGGCGTCACATTACCAAAAGACAGCAATTAAACTCGAACACTATAATGGCAACCGTCCACTTCTACTTGTAGTATTGCAATGTCACTGAAATATCTCAAAGACTGCATTACCATCGCTCTCAAACCACAGAGCTTTAAGCACGGTAGCTTCCACACTCTGTCCGGGGCGCTTGCATCTTCATCGGTAACGTTGGCAACAGAGAGATAACTTCCCGGGGGGGGGAGACAACTTACATAGCAGTCTATTGACTTCGAGTCGACTGCACATTGAATGACAGGTGTGTTTATGCACGAAGTGTTGAGTGGTTTATTAATGGTGGTCAACTGAACAACATTGTACAGTCTCCACGCAAGTCGTCATTGTGGCTTTTCCTGTTTCCGTCTCTCTTGATGATATTTCCTTTCTCCAATTTCCTGGTATGCCACACAAATGTCATCAAACGCTACATATACATAAATTTGACTGTGTGAAAATTAAATGAGTGTAGACGCCATTTTTTGTTAACAAGAGGCGTCAACGATCGCGTATGATTTCTGGACTACCCAAGAGAAATATAAGCGTATATATAACAATAAAACTGATTTCCCGAGACAGTTGATATGGTATAGACAATATGACAGCTGCGCACTGGTTGAAAACAGCTGCCAACGCAAGTTCTTTTGTTCAACAAAAACCTCAACTACAATACCAGCAGCCACGTGACAACACAATGGTTGAAAATATCAAAAATTACTTATGCGCTCTAACAACGGGATATAAACCATAATAATACATACAGTTATGCAGACGAGGTCAACATTTGGCTCACTGTATACGCACATGAAATGGAGTTTCTGGTCGTTCGTGGCATTGGATTGACATAAAATATAACAAAACCACATGAATGACGCCAATTTACAATAAAAATAGAATTTTCCAAACTGTTACCCAGACCAGACTCAGCATTCGGCAAACACGGCCAATTAATGCGAGTGACCAAATTTTGATCAAAATTGCAACTGAAAAGCAAATCATATAAAAGAACCCCCCCGGCAGATGCTCCGAGTATGTTGCATAAATTTCAATCATTCACCACGTGAAAGGAGACAGCTCGACTTCATCCGGATAAATCCCCAGGCGACTAGTTCCGAAGACGGACTCGTGTAAACATGAGATCTTGATCCACGACAGCAGAGAAAAAAAATTGGCAGGAAAGCTTGCTAAAGACGACTGGGGACTAAAGATCCATTTTTGCAACGGAGAAATGACGAACTCCCTTCATTTACCAAACTTCAAGCACCAAGCAACACTACGGAATAGCCCACGCAGTGACCCAAAGCCTGCCCGAATTTTCATGAAAAAGATTACAAGTTTTACGATAGTCGAGTACACCTACACGAGAACAAATACTTTCCATGGTGGTTTTGACTTGTTTCTTACAAATGTTTGCAAGTTTATTCTTCACAACATCACACACATTTTCTGTTAACGATGAACAGGTGTAATTACTGGACGGCTCTTTAAAAGAATTAATTTCAACATCTGCCATGGAAAACACTTATTAACATCGTCTTTTAGAATGGTTAAAAGATCTTAAATCCTAGTTTTTGGCGAAGCATTAATGTCATTATAAAACTATAAATAAACAATTATTGCTGCCTTCCTTTCAAACAAAAAGTAATTCACCCAGCTAAATCTTGAAGGTATTTTTGACCACGCTTCCTTGCACAATCTCCGGCTGGATTACAGTCGGCAATATATTTCTTGATTTTCTTCTGCAATTTCACGCTCTGTGTGTGTTTCATGATGGCACCATCTTCATCACACACACAAACGGCGAAGGTGATGAATTAAACTTCACCAGAGTGGAAATGAAACGCTCCACGCCACGAGAATGGCGGGGTTAAAAGCATGGTGCTTGGTAGCGTAAAGAAAACACCGAGCGCAGACAGGACCGACTGGGAGGGGGGGGGCGTCTGGAGATGGCACTCAATAGGTCTGCTCATAATTTCAGAAAAAAACACCAAGCTCCTTCTTGATGTAGTTTGCATTCTTAATTAAGACTGGACGGGGGCAGGGCGGCGGAGGGGAAGTGGGCATAACCTAATTACATATACATGTAATTCAACCACTCCATACATACTGTCTAGTCACTGGTGTTGAGACGAATGGTACATCTTAACATGAAAAAGAATCAGGGGAATTACAGACATGAAACAAACTGTGAACATTAATCAAGTCATATTTAGTCACAATACCTGTCCAGTCTTCACCCCATAACCCTGTTTAATACTTGACTTGTGAATGAACTGGATGGATTCACATACATGTACTCTTCTGTTTTTAGAAAAAGTGTCCTTTGCAGGATCATAGTCTCATTTCTGCTGTATTGCCCACAGCCGGTGATGAATCAACAATACAATAAATCATTATAATGGTGACAAAAATTTAAAAAACTAATAAAAATAAAAACAGAGTACACAACTGTGGTCTCCATTATGCTGTCAAGTCCTAATGGATGGAATGTACAAATCTACGCAGTATGTAATACAAATGTATCCACAACTTTCAAAGATTTGCAAAAGGAAAATATGTGGTCAATACCTTTAGAGAAAATAAAACTGTTTAGTATTCACACAAGATATCTTCAAGTTTGAATATTTTTAACAGTTAGTACCAGGAAACTGAGATTAGTCCCTACTGGTGGAAGTAATTAATTAGCATTAACAAGCAGGTGTTTTGAAAAGAGCAGGTGTCTGAAACAAACAGGTGTTCGAAACGAGCAAGTGTTTTGAAACGAGCAGGTGTTTTGGAGGATGAAAACAAAGATTTAATTATCCACCTGTGTCAACTTGCAATAACATTCTTTACTCTACGAAATAAAGGTTCCCATTCGCACCCCCATTAATACAATAGCAGCATCCATAGTAAATGGGGCAAACTAGCACCCCAATTTGGGTGGGTGCACCCCTACCTGGGCATGCGTGCACCTACAGGGGAGCATACACCATATACCGGGGATAGCTTTGCACCATAGTAATTGGTCCTGCTATTGTATCAATGACAGGGGTGCAAATGTGAACCTTTATTTCTTAGAGTGTTGTTATTGCCTCTAGTAGCAATGCTGAGATGGAGCCCTCGTCTTACTTACGATCCCAGTTTCTGGTAATGAAGACAGAGCCACAGTCAAGTGCAGATTGTCCCAGGGAGGGGAGCAACGGTGGTCACAAAGTTTTGGTTCTGGATTGAGCCTTTACCGTGGCCAAGGGAGGGCTCTTGGCCACAAAAAAAGGCTCAGTTTTGGCAATAATAAATGGGGTTGCCTAACACAGAAATTTGATAAGCAAAGAAAACACATGCTCAGCAAAAACAGCTTACCAGTCAAAAGCACCACGTGGTTGGCATTGGTTGCAACTGGTTCTCGGCAAATCACTGCTTACATCATAAAGTCGCTAAGCTATCTTTTCCACCTTTTTCGGCAGCACAGACCGAGGGCCCTGCCATTTACCCATTTACTCAGCAGTCCCTGGTCAGTACCTTTTGGTTCAACTACCTTCGTCTTGTGGCCTCACTCTAGCCTGTATTCTATAAGGCAAAGCGGCAGAGCCTGATGCGGATCAAAGATGACGTACTCCTGGCAACCACTAATCATTGCGTCCCCACCGCTTAACAAAGACAGCCTCCCTGGTGTCTACATGAGTGTAAGACATAACAGAAGCACTATTAAGTATTTGAAGTGTTTAAAGAAATACACTGAACCATTAAAAATGTAGATAAATCTTTGTTTTTTTCTGTCTCAGTACACTCAAGGCGGAGTGCTGGGCTCTGCAAAAGAGAGTACACTATTTATGCTCATGAAAATGATAAAAGAATGGACGACCCCTTACATCTATCGCCAATATTTTTGTCGATCTTACCACAATGGAATCAAATCCTTCGGGTGGAGCTACTCTGGTGTTGTCTGCCTTCACCACTGAGTCCGTCGTGCCAAGTCCGACCTCAACAAGTAGAAGCTTTCCCAGCTGCCAATAGCCAAGAGATCAGACTTTCAACGTTCGAAGACTGGATTGAATCGATAAGTCTGAGGAACACTATACAATCAGCCATACCGAGGTGGCAAAGTAACTGTGTGGGAATCAGTGTTAGTGCCTGGTGTAATAGATTGTTCAGCTGCAGGACAGAAATTGACAGAATTTTAGTACTGGCTTCTGTGCCGCGAAGTACCTGTTTCTATTTCGCACTTTTGAACGAGCGATTTCATTATTGTCAACTGGGGTTGTTTCCAGTAAACAGTCCCAAACATTTACAGAAAACGTGAATGAATCAAGAAACAGCGATTAAGATGGCAGCGTCTGATGCGATTTGGGAATCTTCTTACCGCTGAGAAATGAGCCGCCTTGGAAGCATGTTGACTGACGTACAGGCCCACGCCAAACTCTCCATGGCTGAAATCTGGAAGGAACCACAAGATCAGAGAAGTTAGAAAACACATGACTTGAAGAAGTCCATAATTTCATCACATCACTTGGCATAAAATCATCTCCATTGCAAACATTTGTCCATTCAATGAGGATCAAGGACGGGCTGACATTACACATGAGTCTATAGTGGTGGCTTGAAATTACACACAACTCTATGGGTAGCGGCTTACCATAGACTCGTGTGTAATTTCAAGCCACAGCCAAGTAACTTTGGATATGGCTAACCCATCAAATGTCTTAAGGTTAAATCAACTATCATGATAGACTGGGCACCCATCTTCATTTAAGTGTACAGGCGATGGCCGAACAGCTCCTGCCATTTCATTGGCTGCTATGAATATTGAGGATGCTTCCTTCCCTGCTGTCTTATTGGCTATGTTTTCAATGGAGAACAAACAAATGACAAGAGCGCCTGTGTTCAAGTGCATGTATGTAAATTAGGACAACCCTTCCAATCAGAGTTGAGTGTGATCTTAAGCACTGGATTGTCCGTGTATCAAAGACATTCAGAGAGTATTCCGGGCAAGCTACCTTGCTCAGTGAAGCCATTGGACAGAATTTCTGGGATTCTCTCAGGATGTTGTAAGGTTCCACACAGGTACATCTTGGTGTGAAGGGATGGGTCACGCAACAGTCGACACCTCGTGCTGAACATCTCAACACCGGACTGTGAAACATTAGCCTGGAATACAGATCATGAAAAAAAATGTCGACTCTGATAGAAAAAAAGGGACAACTAGTGATACCAGAGTTTCCCAATGCAAGAATGTTGGTTCCATGCTACCTTTGGAAAACCTATTGAGCTGGAGATGTCATGGGAACACCCCTTGTACAAAAAGGACACTAACACTCCATTTCTGATTGCAGGTCAGATGAACACACCCTTAAACATCGGCACAAGGGGACCCACATCATTGTTAGACTTGCTCGATAGGTTCAGAGATGTAGTTATACAGTTCTAGTGGCATATCCAGTGTGGCATGGGCAGGAGGTTACGTCCCCCTCGGGACATATACGTAGACAATTTTTTGAAGAAGTGAAAGTGGAAATACTGCAGGGAGAACAGAGAAGAGAGGGTCGCAGGGAGAAAAGAGGGTCGCAGGAAGAAGAGAGGGTCATAGGGAGAAGAGAGGGTCGCAGGGAGATGAGAGGGTCGCAGGGAGAAGAGAGGGTCGCAGGGAGAAGAGAGGGTCATAGGGAGAAGAGAGGGTCGCAGGGAGGAAGAGAGGGTCGCAG